GAATAAAAGCTATAATCACAGAAATGATAATAAAAATAAAAATAATTGTATAATTGCTAATGTTTAATTACACTTGTAAATGATTTGAACATCAAGGGCTGCTATAAGAGAGTGCAAACAAGAGATCTAGTCACAAAACATGATATGGCCCAAGGTCTAAGTAGGAGAAGAACAACTCTTTCAATGGCCCAGGGTTTAAGAAACAGTAAGTTTAAGAAACTGAGTGTCTACAAAATAGTAAACAAGGGGAGGAAAGGCAAGTAAGAAACACATCATGTAGAAAAGTGCAGATCACATTAAGTTTTTTAGATTTTGTCCTAAAAGTTATGGGAAGTCATTGATGGTTTCAGAGCATGTTGTACCATGACTTGACAAATAATTACAAACAAATTATTTGTTTATAATAAAATATTTCCTCCCAATATTTTATTATAAACAAATTCAAACACAGTGAAAAGAATTGTACAATGAGCACACATGTCATAAAAGTGCTTACATTAGACAATTACAAACATTTTGCTCCTGACTTTTTTTTTTTTTTTTTTGAGACAGAGTCTCACTTTGTAGCCTCCAGTAGTGTGCCAGGGCCTCATAGCTCACAGCAACCTCAGACTCCTGGGCTCAAGTGATTCTCTGTCTCAGCCTCCTGAGTAGCTGGGACTACAGGCGCCTGCCACAACTCCCAACTATTTTTATTTTTTATTTTTAGAGACAGAGTTTCACTTTGTCATCCTCGGTAGAGTGCTGTAGCATCACAGCTCACAGCAACCTCCAGTTCTTGGGCTTAGGCGATTCTCTTGCCTCAGTCTCTGGAGCAGCTGGGACTACAGGCGCCTGCCACAACACTGGCTATTTTTTTGTTGCAGTTTGGCCTGGGCCAGGTTTGAACCCATCACCCTCAGTATATCAGCTGGCATCCTACTCACTGAGCCACAGGCACTGCCCTCCCAGCTATTTTTAGAGGTGGGGTCTGGCTCTAGCTCAGGCTGGCCCTGAACTCCTGAACTCAGGCAATCCTTTGGCCTTGCCCTCCCAGAGTACTGGGATTACAGGTGTGAGCCACCACACCCAGCCCTCCTAACTTAATTTTTAAATTAGATCACAATAATTGTCTAAGTGTTAAAAGGGGAGAAATAGGCTCGGCGCCTATAGCTCAACCGGCTAAGGCACCAGCCACGTACACCTAAGGTGGTGGGTTCGAATCCCCAGCCCGGACCCGCCAAACAACGATGAGGGCTGCAACCAAAAAATAGCCGGGTGTTGTGGTGGGTGCCTGTGGTCCCAGCTACTTGGGAGGCGGAGGCAGGAGACTCGCTTGAGCCCAGGACTTGGAGGTTGCTGTGAGCTGAGATGTCCAGGGGAACAGCTTGAGGCTCTGTCTCAAAAAAAAAAAAAAAAACGGGGGGGGGGAGAAATAAATTTAATCCTGGTTTTTGCAGGGAGAATATATAAAGAAGTTTAGAAATGGTACAGCCTAGCCAATGTAATGATTAAAAGTGAGTAAATGCACAGAAGTATTTACTGCATTGCAATACCTCAAACACAAGTCTCAGAAGAAAGGGTGCTGGAATTGTTTTTTCAGGTTTATCCTTCTGTGTGAACTATGACTCCAATTCCAAGATAACTGTCTGCATCTTTTTGTGACCCTATTACCTCCCATTAGAACTATTAGAACTTTAAATAAGGCTCAGCCTGTGGCTCAAGTGGCTAAGGCGCCAGCCACATACACCTAAGGTGTCGGGTTTGAATCCAGCCCGGGCCCACCAAACAACAATGAAGGCTGCAACCAAAAAATAGCCAGGCGTTGTGGGGGGTGCCTGTGATCCTAGCTACCTGGGAGGCTGAGGCAGGAGACTCACTTGAGCCCAGGAGTTGGAGGTTGCTGTGAGCTGTGATGCCACAGCACCCTACCCAGGGGGACAGCTTGAGGCTCTGTCTCAAAAAAAAAAAAAAAGAAAAAAAAGAACTTTAAATAAAGTGCTTAAAATTATGAAAACTCCACAAACTCTAATTCAGTTTGTAAATTACTTTGCCTTGATAATTGGCAACAGTGAAGATGAAGAGGAAAAGATAAATTTTAAAAAATATATAAGAAATAAAACTTATGAGATGTTTTAAATAATTAGATGAGAGGAATGTAGAAGAATATTTCCAGAAGAGACAGTTGGAGGGCACAGAAGGGGTAGATTCAAAATGTTTATTTTAATTTCGGACAAGTTAATTTTTAGAAGCCTTTGAAATATCCAGGTAAATATTCCAGTAGACAACTAGAATTTAAGCTGGCACTGAGGAGGGCATTCAAAACTGTACAGTTCTAATCACCTTTTGTTTTATCATGAAGACAATAAAATCTTGAGATTATGTTCAAAAAAAAAGGTAAATATAGATATAAACAAAAGCGATAAGCCTTACTGAAACATCAGAGTAGATCTGCTCTGTCTAAGAATAGAAGACAAAAAAAGAAAAAAAAAGAATAGAAGACAGTTGTCATCCTGAGTCACCATCAAATCTCAGGGTCTCAGGCACCTTAAATACTATTCCAGATGACCATTTTATACCAAGAAGAATCAAACTGCCTACTATTATAATTCAATAATAAAAGATATACAACTTAATTAAAATGGGCAAGTATCAGAATAGACATTTTTCAAAAAAAGATCTACCAGAATAGATATTTTTCTTTTTCTTTTTCTTTTTTTTTTTTGACAGGAGCCTCAAGCTGTCCCCCTGGGTAGAGTGCCGTGGCATTACAGCTCACAGCAACCTCCAACTCCTGGGCTCAAGCGAGTCTCTTGCCTCCGCCTCCCAAGTAGCTGGGACCACAGGCGCCCGCCACAACGCCCGGCTATTTTTTGGTTGCAGCCGTCATTGTTGTTTGGCAGGTCCGGGCTGGGGATTTGAACCCGCCACCTTAGGTGTACGTGGCTGGCGCCTTAGCCCGTTGAGCTATAGGTGCCGAGCCAATAGATATTTTTCAAAAAAAGATCTACAAATCACCAATAAACACATGGAAAGATTATCTTTATTGGTAGGGAAATGCAAACCAAAATCACGAGATACCACCTCATACCCACCACTACGTAGCCGTAATTAAAAACAAAACTTGATGCAAGTATTAGTAGGGATTTGGAAAAACTAGAAGGTTTATACATTGGTGGTGGCAATGTAAAAGGTAAAATCAATGCAGCTGCCGTGGAAAACAATTTGGAAGCTCCTCAAAAAGTTAACTGCAGAGTAACCATACAACTCAGCAATTCCTTTCCTAGGAATATACCAAGAGAATTTAAAACATACATGTGTACAAAAACTTGTGTTCATAGCAGCATTATTCATAATTCCTAAAAAATGGAAACTATCCAATGTCTATCAAATGGTGAATGGATAAATAAAATGTGGTATAGCCATAAAATGGAATATAATTTGACAATAAAAAGGAAGAAGTCTGGGCATGGTGGCTTAGGCCTACAAATCCTAGCACTCTGGGAACCCAAGGGTGCTAGGATCAGGAGTTCCAGACCAACCTGAGCAAGAGGGGAGACTGGCTCCTGAGCTTGTAGTTGGAACTATTCTGGAGGCCCAGGCAGGAGGATCACTTGAGCCCAAGAATTTGAGGTTTCACTGTACTAGGCTGATGCCACTGCACTCTGGCAAGGGACAGAGCAAAACCTTGTCTCAAAAAAAAAAGATAAATCAACACATTCTACACAGATGCATCTTGAAAACAAGCTAAGGAAACCAGTTACAAAAAACTTAAGTATTCTATGATTCCATTTATATGAAATATCCTGAATAGGTAAGTCTACAGAGGCAGAAAGCAGATTTGTGATTGCCTAAGACTGAAAGGCTTAGGAAGATAAGAGAGGTAGGATGAAACATGACTATTATTAAGGGCTATTTTTGGTGTGAGTAGACTGGTCTAAAAGTACAGTGATGGTCACACAATTCTGCGAATAAAAAACCATTTCAATTGTACACTTTATTTTTTGAGACAGAGTCACAGTCTGTCAACCTGGGTAGAGTGTAGTGACATCATCATAGCTCGCAGCAACCTCAAACTCCTGAGCTCAAGAGAGCCTCTTGCTTCAGCCTGCAAAGTAGCTGGGACTACAGGAGCCTCCCATAACCCAAGGCTAGTTTTTCTATATTTAGCTGAGACCCGGTCTTGCTCTTGCTCAGGCTGGTCTCAAGCAATCCACATGCTTCACCCTCCCAGAATGCCAGGATGACAGGCTTCAGCCCCTGCGCCCAGAATCAATTGTACACTGTAAATGAGGGAAGTGCATGATATGTAAGTTATATCTTAATAGTTATTTTTTTTAAAAATCAGATACCATCCTTTCTTTTTGATGAACGGCAATACAGAGTTTGGGCTCTTATATACTCGTGTACTCTTGGCTACCAGTGCCTTGTGACACCACTGCAGTTGTACATGCCTCTAGCACTTAAATCATCGTCTGTAATTACGTGTTTAACAATCCTATATTACATCACTACTTTCTTTAGAATAGATATTGTATCTGATTCTTGTGTTTCAGGATCTGTTTTTTAAAAATGAAGGTTTATTCAGGAAAAAAAAAATGTACAACTAAGATTAAATAAAAAGTAAAGTAGAAACCCAACGTACAGATATTTACCTCTCCTACCAAGGAAAGGCACAAAACGAAACGGAAGCAAAGCACAAATAGGAATAAAGGATGGGGAAAGCAGAGCATCTCCTTCCATCCCGGCTTTTGACTCTCTGTAAAGTTCCAGGGGACAGTCAGTCGAGATTGGCTACATACTATGCCTGGCGGCGCCGGCAAGACAAGCCAACCCAGATGCTCTCTTTCCCGCCTCTTTGAGGCCCTAAGCCCCAGGTGGAGCCGCGCGAGGGGCGGGGCTCACGTCACGTCCGGTTCAGGCGGCGCCGTCGCTAGGGAGAGAAAATAGAGCGCGAAGGGGCGGGGCCGAGAATGCGCGCGTTCTGGGCGGGGAGGAGCCCGGCTAGGGAGCGTCGCGTCACGTCCGGTGGAGGGAGAGCCGGTGCGGAGGCGGCGCGGAGCGCTTCAGTTGTGAGCGGCTCGGAAATCGGTGCGTCGTGTGAGGCTGCAGCGGAGCCTCTATAAGAAGGCGCAAGAGGTTGGCAGCTTCATTGAAGCACATCGAGCGGCGTCAGCAGCCAGAAGTCATGAGCGACAGCGGTGAACAGAACTACGGCGAGCGGGTACGTAGAAGTGGTGTAGGGGGCGGCTGTGTGGTCCCAGCTTCTTCTGTCTTTCTAGGCCCATCGGCCTGAGGTCTGGAGGCAGAGATGTTTTAGGCCCCGAAGTCTGAAGCCGGAAGGAGGGCAGGCGAGGTTTCAACAAGGCCTTGTGGGTAGCGTCTTTAGTCGCGAAATCAGGCTGGCACTGAGGAGTACGTTCGGCGGGTTTGTGTGGCCTTGTGCCCGAGACAGCCGTTTTTTCCGTTATGGGGGTAGGGAAGATCAAAAATGGCCGCTGCGTACCCTCGGTGTTGGGGGAGGGGAGCCGTATCTTATTTCGCAGATGCCTTCCTGCGAAGGGCCGCCGCAGCCATCTTGGGCTGGCGGGCTGGGCGCGCTGCCAGAGGCACAAAATGGCGGAGGGGCCGCGCGTGAGCGCGGGCTCGACTCGCCGCAGGCCGCGCCTGGTAGACCGCGTGGTGGGTTGGAAGAAGAAAGACGCTGTTCTTGGCCAGTGTTTACGTTATCGAAGGGGCCATCTTACCGGCCGTTGAAAGAACAGAATTTAGGCTGTTCTTGGGGTTTATAATGTGGAAACTTAAATAGCCTTAAGTTCTAGGCCCGTTAGTTAGAGGGGATTGGGCGAGGTTTTGTATTTGGTTTAAGCGGAGCGTTTTTTGTCCGATAACTTAGAGTTTTCCAGTCAAGAATTGTTTTCAGAGTATTCTATTAGCAAAGGCCACAAAGATCGCCAAGACTATTTTATGGAAATGATTTCCCCCCGCCCCCGGGAATAAGCGGGAGAAAGTGGCGGGCAACAATCCGTGGCGCTATTACTGCCTTTCTACTGAGACGTTCCAGTACTGAGAATCACAGCAGACGTTGGTACTTTTTTTTTTTGAGTTTTCCACCTCTTAAAAGGTGGAGTTCGGTGAGGGTTGATTAAATTGAGAGAGAAAGATAGTCCCTAGGCTTAGGAAAAGCCTAGTTTGCTTGTGGAGACTCTGGGTATGATTAGGTTCGGAAAGCACTGAAGACGCAGAAATAGAGGGCTTTCTAGAACTTTACATACTGACGGCTAAGGGGAATTTGTTTAGAAGAAGGGCTAGAAAACCAGTTTCTGAAGCTGTATGGGAATATGGTTTTGTGTTTCGTTACCTATTAAGTGTCTCCTTGCTGGTAGAGCTGCCTTACGATCTGAAAACTACTGGTCGAGTGAGACTATTAAATACCTTAATAAACTTAGTTCGTTACGGTATTTTTTGAAAGAAACTTCCTCCGGCTTGGCACCTTAGTGAGCTTAACTCTATAATGAATTTTGGAACCAAAACTAATTGATTTGAACTAATCAAGCCTTAACATACTCAGATGGATATTAGATTGGGGGGATTTTGGTGTTTTTCCGTTAAGGTGATACTTAAGTATCGCCGATGTGCGCGATTATTTTTCTTAAGGTTTTGCTTTCTGAGGGTAGAAAAGTTTGGGTTGAGCTCACAGGTGGTGTGCCTTCTGATTGCTATAAGTTGACTGGCCTGTTGAAACTGCTCCTTGGTGTTGGGACTGGGAAGCGCAGGTCTTTTATTAAATAAACACCGATTATTGGGTACTTTTGCCCTCTTGTAGGGAATACAGAATGATTTCTGACAAGAGGAGCTTCCTGGTTGAATGTACGTGAAGTTACACATGGAATGCTCCAAAAAGTGTAGAATTGCCAAGGAAGAATTAACTCTAGCATATTTTACATGAGGAAGGAAAAAGGAAGTAGATCTGTTTGAGTCGTATTAATAGAAATTTGAAATCGTTTGTTTTCTTTCTACTATAAAAAATTTAATGTTTTTTGCAGTCCTTGGCTTAATTGTGAAAGGAAAGAAAATTAATGTAGGAGTCTTGGCTTTCTGGAAGAGATTTCCAATCTTTCAAGTTGTAAAATACGTTCACGTTTTTGTTTGCATTCCCATCGAAACCTTTAAATGATTGGAATATTCCTAAAACAAATATGTTGTCTAGTCTCCCTTATGCTGGGAAAGCATAAGGCTGAATGGAACCATATAAAAATTAAGCAAGGAAAAAAAGGTAATGTAAGTCTTTTTAAATCGGCTGGAATATTTACCTGTTAAATCTGTAAATCCAGACACTCAAACACCCTGGCAGCCCTACCTCTCTAGTAAAGGTTGGGGGCCACTTGAGGTCTCCTGCCTAGTCCTTTAGACTTTAGAAGTACTTTTCCTAAACAAAGTCAGGCGTGTGGAATAAATAAAATCATCCTCAATTTAGTTACTAATAGACTATTTATAAGAACTTCATAATAGAGTTGGTTAGCAATTTTAGAGGTGCTGACTAATAATGGGGGGTGATCAATCTTCAAAGCCCAATAATGGTCACAATACACTATGTAGGGTGTGTAAAGTTTGTGTTGTCTTATCTTGCACTCAGTTAAATTTAAGTCTTATCCTCCTTACCTCTGCAGTTAGTTTGTACAAATTAGTCTTTTGTCTAAAGAATCCAGAAATAGGAAACATTGGGCCAGATGTTTTTATTCAAGATTACAATAACAAGCGGTTTAAATATGTCTTGACCCAGCAGATACTTTGATAAAAAATTAGCTGCTGTTTTTGTAGAAGCAGTGTTTGTGACATAGACACATTATCTTTAGTCTTGCTCTCAATAGAGGTGACTAGCACTTGGACACCATCCCATCAGGATGCCTCTCAAAATCTGCAGTTTTTCTCTTCTTCTGCTTAATCTTGGGATATCTTTTTGTATTCTTTATTTTTAGCCCCTAACTCTAAATTCTGATTTTCAGAACAAGCATCTCTGAATCAATTTCCTTTCTGCAGAATTGTAGCCCTCACGCCAAATACCTTCAACAAAGGATTGAGTTAATGTAAAGTGGGAGGAAACAGTTTCGTTTCATTGTGAGTCTGGTTAGGTTATTAGTTTCTTGAAACCAGGTTGATTTTTTTTCCCCCCTCTTGGTCCTAAGAGTACTTTGATATTGTGAATGTTTGGAGCTAGAAGGTGGCAATTTCAAACTGAAATTACGAGTGATTTTGCAAGGTAAGTACTACAGGTTTTGTCAAAGGATTGAAGAGGAATTAAGCTGGGGAGAGAACTATTAATGGGATTTGCCTTGTAGTCTTTTTACCCTTTCTCTCCGCTAAAACCCCATACCTAAGAAGCAAATAATAATGCTTTTGTAGTTGAGTTCTTATTTTGCCAAAGATAGACATACACATCTCTTGAGCCTTAGCATTTTTTGTTATACTGATCAATGTTCATGCATACATAATTAATTGCATTGTTTTCTTAAAGGTATGATTGATTAGGAATTATAAGTATTTTTACCCAGGTTTAGTCCTTTGGGTGTGGGTCACATAGAGTTAGGTTTTGTCATCACTTAACTTTTTAAGCTGTAAGCCAAAAAAAATTATTTCTTGTAGCAAATCATACTCTTCATAATCCCTAAAAATCTTCTCTTTGAATTAGGTTTTGTGGGTTATTTTCAGATTACCTTTATCACATAGATTGTCACATAACAACAGTTTGGATTAGGCTTTTTGCATTAATTTTTGTGCTTGGATATTAGATTAAAAGGTAGTCTTCTAATATGTCAAAACATTTGCTTTTGCTGGGAAGTAGTGAATGTTTTATGAATGTAAACGTAAGGGTCTGTGCTGTTTTTGCAAGAGATTTCTTAAAGCACAGGCTTGTGGGGGGGGTTGTTTGTTTGTTTTTGTTTTTGTTTTTTTTGCTTTTTCCTTCAGAGACTATTCTTAGTCTTTGAGGATTTTTCTCTCCATCCACCTTTCTGATAGACAATTTGGCTGCAGAACAAAATAAAATAGACCTTAATGTATTGGTAAGAGCATTCATCGACTTTCCTGTGAAAGGTTCCACATTTTTCTTTCCCCTCTCCCTTCCATTTTTTAGAATATTGGATTGTCAACTTAATGAGTTAGTGCATGTTTCATGTTAAATGGATTTTTTTGTTGTATCCCCCAGAAACACATAACAAAAATTGTGTTAATGAGAAAGTTTCTGTTTATTTCTACATAGGATCTCTTAACCAAATGTTCATAATGTTAGCCTGGTCTTCTGGTTTTATAAAGTGGCTTTTTGAAATTAGCTGCTGAGTTGTAAAAAACCTGACAACTATACTTATAGTGATGGCTTTCTTAGAATATGAATGAGAGAGGAAGAAGGTTTGGAAGGGGTAATGAAATAACATCAGTTAGATGTCCATATTGAAGACAGTGGTGATAGAGCTTTGGCCTCTATTTCAGTATCTTTTGCATCTAAGCCCTGTTATCTTTACATAATTGTTAGGAGGCCCTGAGGAAACCTGCTTGGGCATTCTGATTCCACGATTACATTTGCACTGCCAGCAAACATTTCCCATTACATTTTAGTGATGGATATTAAAAGAAAACCAATTGCTGTAGCTTCCTTAAATAGCTGTTTAAAACATATTCTAGGATTAAGTAAAATAAACAATAATTGACTTTAAAACTAGGCTGGAAATTATGCTGCTATGTTAGAAAAGACATCAGAACACGTGCCAGGATAGCCATGGTTTTTAATGCCTTAATGCTCGGACATAAGGATGTCTCTTGTAACTCTTTTTTAAAGAAAACTATAAATTTAAAACTAGGAAAGAAATGACAGTAAAATAAGATTCAAAGGTGAAATGCAGGATAACAAGGAAAACTAGAATGTTTTATAAAGGCAGTATTTTGTTTGGCATGTTCAAAAGATGCTTTTATACTTTGCTGATCTGCTAAATTAAGTCTTTAATATTTGAGGAGGTGAGCTATAATTTTGTTCTAGTATTGCCACCTTTAAAATAGGATTTCTCCTTTGGATACCCAGAAGACATTACTATTCATTGAAGGGAAAATGTACCACAAAATTCATTAAAAATGCCACTGTTGGATTCAAGTCTGTTCTGCTTTCCTTCATAGTTACTGGCTTATAGTAGGTTGTTGACCTAATTTTGTCCTTTTATGATTTTAGTTCTAAATTTAGTAATTAGACCATTTATACTATAAAATCTCACTAGAGCAGCATTTCTAGGGGTGGGTTAAAACTATAGTTCCAAATTGTCATGTTCTGGCATTGTCTAATATAGTAAAAAAAATGCGTGACATTAAATACATTTCTTTATCCTGAGACAAGTCACAATATTGTAAACCTCTTAAACCCTGAGCCTTTGTCATCATTGTACAAATGAATTGTCCGTGCTTTCCTTTCTTGCACTTATGTATTACTGTGTCACTTTTTGATAGAGATGTGATTTTGACACTTAACATTTTCTCTTGATGAATACAATACGTAAGAAGTGTGAAATGTAATTGTAGTTCTTAAAATGTTAAATGAACAGTAAATGTTCAGAGGCGCACTTCACATTCATCTTAAGCATGATAAGATGAGTAGACAAATGAGAGTGATTACCATATACTAGAACCAACAGAAAACTATGTAGTTTCAGATTTTTGAGCTGCATATTCTAGTGTCTTTTTTTAAAATCCAAATCAACAAAGGGATTTTTTTTTCTAGTTTTCAGTTTTGGCACTGGATTTTATCCTGGAGTTTTAAAATATTCTTCATCCTGTTCTTTTTCTATTAAGGTTAATGTTGAAGAAGGAAAATGCGGAAGTCGTCATTTGACAAGTTTTATAAATGAGTATTTGAAGCTCAGGAATAAGTGAAGCTGAAATTTGAAAAAATAAAAGAAAGAATGCATGCTAATTATCAGACCAGAAGTCCCACTTGTAGAATATTGAGCAATTTGTGTGAAGTGGGGAAGATGAAAGAAGTCAGAATTTGAAACGGAAGAATGAAGAAAAGAAATAAAAATGAAGTTAAGATAAGAAGTAATCTGGAATCAGAAAGCACTACGCTAAGTAATTACTAGTCTGTTTATGTGTCCCTGTATATTTTGCTAAACATGCATGCATTATTTGTTTAATAGAAGAAAATATATACAGGGTAAAGAAGTGCCTTCCAGGGGAAACGGTTAAATTAGGTAATTCTAATTTTAACTGCTTAGTCAAATGATTGAAATGCAATTTTTTTTAAAAAATTAACCTTTTGTAGTCAAATACCAGGTAGCAATGAAGCTGTCCAGCATGGGTAACAGTTGGCTTCAGTGTTGTCCCCTTTAGATAGATTTTTTAATCTAAATTCTGCTGGTCCCAGGATATGATTACATCCCGAGTTGGAACTGGTGGTCTTAGAATCCACTGACCCCTCTCTTTCAGTACTGTATGTACTTCAGTATATTGTAGGATGTTTTGTTTGTTTAAGTTTTTCTAGCCAGGATAGTTTAGAACCAACCCCTCTGAATCAAAGCAAAGCTTTGAACAGGGTAGTGGGGGGGGGGGGATTAAATCATTAGTTTTTTCCCAAATGGCAGGAGTGGAGATCTATAACCATTTAGCGTTGACCCTAACTTGAAGTTGCATGTTTGTTAATAAGAATCCAGGGGTGATTCTTTAAATTCTGTTTACTGCCCATTCCAGCTGAATAACTAGGATTAGTGCTGAAAATATAGTAGCTTTCCTTAGAAGTGGGTCACATATGGTGAATAAGATAGCTAATTCAAAGTGCAATAATAACAGGTGCTTTTTATTTCCCTTTTCTGCTGTCAACATTTTGTTACTAGAATGGTATTAGAGATACAGATTATAAAGTAGCTTTATTCTGGTTCCCTACTCTACTACATAGAAAATCACATCAAATGTTCTGTCTTTTCCTTTTCTGTGTGTTTTGTTTTAGCTGACCAGAAGAGTCAGCTGATTGGTGTGATGTTGTTACCTTCAGCTGGATGGGACAAGTACATATATCAGTAATACCCAGTAGCAGCCAGCCAACAATGTTTTCTACCCAATTGAGAATGCCAGGGGTGTCATCTCACGGACTTCTTCCTGAGATAAAGACCCCTTAAGCTTTCTCTGAGAGTTGTTAGATCTTTAAGTACTTGGAGAAAATGATTTAGATGATACTTCTTGAAGGATCCATTTTCTGGTACTTTAGAAACTGTTGTCATAGTTTGAAATAAGTATTTCTATGTCTTGCAAACAATTATTTGCATTTATAGAAGGTAGTTTTTGCATTTAGTTTTCTCCAATTGTTGGTTTGTAAAATTTCCTGACATAGATAAACTAATAACATTGATGTTTATTTTGCATTCTGAATTACTCATAGAACAGGTAGATGGCTGAGGTAAAAATGATGTGAGTTATCAAGTAACCTGAAAGGCCCTAGGGTCCAAAATAGAGATTAGCCCCCCAAGAAAAAGAATGCAATTTGGAATATGATTATATGAATTGAGCTGTATAGATTTAAGGTTATGCTGTTACTGTTAATAGATCATCTCATTCATTCATTTTTTATTTCTCCCTTAGCCAAAGCATCTTTGGTTTTAGGGTGTCTCTTCCCCAGGCCATTGGGAAGAGGGGGGTAAATAGGCTTCTTTGTGTTCCTGGGACTGGTAGCTATAAGGAAGATTATATTAATCAGAAGTCTGACAGGTGCTAGGGGCAGGCAGAGCAGGGAAGGAGTTGGTATTTGGGAAGGGAAATGATGAAATAGGTACGAAGTATATTATTTTTGAAGTTGCATCAATGAGACTTAACTAGCCTCAGAAATGTGTACAGCCTTTTTATTAAGGGATATAGATGCCCAACACCAGGTCTTTCTTACACAGGAATTGAATGACTAATCCTTTTATCTTTCAAAATAAAATGTTGTGAGACTTTGCTATTCTTAGAATAGAGAGATGTACATTAAAGTTATTTTGTTGGAAGACTTTCGTGTTTTGTTACCTGGTGTGTTCCCTATGGGTTGTGTGTGTATTAGTATACAACTTTAGTCTATAAGAACTTAGATCATTGAGCATTTTCCAGGGAATTTTTGGCTTGATTTTTATTTATGCTGACTTTAATTTCATAATCCCTTTGCTTGGAGCTTTGGTGTCCACAGTAGTTCTTTTTTGGTGAAGCTTTAAATCTGTATTGACACCTATAGCTTTGTTCTAAAAATATAAAGATAAGTATAGAGGCTTTCCCAACTAGTTTTATAGATGTGCCCATATGTTAAGGTTTAAAGTTAATGTTATGCTTTAGATTTGGCTGGTCCTTTTAGGTCTCATTTCTTCCACACAGTCTAAATTCCTTTGCATATGTTTTCCCAGTAAGTTAAATGGCCAGCATAACTGGAAGAGTTGTAACTTCCTTAAGAAAATATCCCTGACAGAAAAGAAGGTATAGCCCAATGAGTGTCAGTATAAAATGGAAAGTCTTTACATTTGGTATTTCCCTTATTCCTGGTCTAAGAAAGCTCACAAAGTGAGCTACAAGCCTGTTCTGGAGATTTTTAAGTGAAAACTTTTAATTTCACAAATGTCATATCTTTGACTCTTGATCTGTTAAAATGTCACAAAGAAAACTCATTAAGGCTTATTTCCTAAACTGGAAGTGTCTCTTCTTAGTGGAGAGGACAGCGAAGCATCTGAGCTTGGAATAAGGCTTTTCTGTTAAATAAAGCAAAAGGCTTACCAAGGATCTAAGCTTTCTATCCATTCTTTCTTTGTACTCAGATTCCTTCTAACTTACTATAATTGCTTTTATTGGTAATCTTCTGCTACTATAAGGCACTCATGATCTTACTTTCTGAGCAAATTGTTTTATTTGGTTTCCATTAAAAATTCTGTAATTCCAGGAAGTAATCTTGTTAGCTTTGGAACAAAGGTGTTCAGTGGCTTTGGGGTTCCTTTTATTTTTTTAGACAGAGTCTGTCACCCTCAGTAGAGTGCCATGTCATCACAGCTCACAGCAACCTCTTAACTCCTGGGCTTAGGTGATTCTCTTGCCTCAGCCTCCCTAGTAGCTGGGACTACTGGGGTGGTGCCCAGGGTTCCTATTTTTTTATCTTCTCTTTTGGACTTAATTTTTCCCATATAAAAATGGCCCAACTATACCCTTGTATTTGAGACCTTTGTCCAAGGTGAAAAGGGAAGAAGGGAGAAACTGTGCTTCTAAATGTCTATACTCAGAATATTTGGTAGAGAAATTCAAGGGATTTTTTCTTGGGGTCCCCAGAGCAGTGCTGCATCTTTTAAACAATTCTTGGTGTTAAAGGCATCTGTTCTTAGTAATAAAGAAGGAGATTGCCATTTTTCAATCTTTTTATAGTCCGCTCATGGGGGAGAGCAGAGGGGGGAAAAGGTTTATGATGGCTTCAAGATCATTTCCCAGTTTTTTGATGCCGAAAGACCTGAACTTAATTTACCTGGTAAGGTGGTCTTTCCTATTACGTGAAACATAAATTTATCACTTCTGTATATGCTGCTTCTGAGCATCATAGGAAAGGTCTTCCAAATTTTCTTTCTTCATGTTGTAAACCACAGAACTATATTCTGAAATGTTAGGGACTGTAATTTAAAATAATTCTTAGCCTTATCTTACTCTTTGAAGAATGGTCAGGATACTCGGAAGATCTACCACAGAGACACCTTGTGATAACTTACTGGAAGCTTCAGCTTTGATTCATATGCCTTCCAGTTATTTCTTATAATAATTGCTTCCTTTTGAGTCTTAACATGTGCTCTACCTAGGAAGACTAACTAGACTTTTTAGGCCTTTTATTTTGCCTAAGTTAAATAGCCTAAAATAAAAACTGTCTACCTTGGTATTGGTATCTTACTTAACCAGGTGTTGAGTTCTGTTCCTCTCACCTTCATCCGCTGTTTTTGATGCCTTGGCAGAACTTTTCCCTCATTCTGTTACTTACATATACCTTTTCTGTTGATTAATTAACCATGTTTTCAGCCTATTAATGAACTAATCCTATTAGCCATTCTTTAGAGATCTTTTTCATGGCACTTGCTTTACCAGCTAGTTCCAGTTTTGATTGGGAAAACTGTGGGTACATAGTATTTATCTAGTCACTTTTTGCATAAAATGAACTGCTAGTTTACGTTGGCTCATCTTCATTTAGCTGAGGAGGCTGTGGAATCTGTGGCACTCTTCCCTGCTCTTCTGCATAATTCACTGCCTTTCTAATGTAGCTCCATCTAGTTGCTTTCAGTTTGTTGGGTGGAATGGAGTTCTACATGTGGACTTAAGTGTCTTTTAAGCTGGTCCTGGCCTTCCACTAGGTTTCTACTTTTCCCTAGGACTTGAAACTGAGATGATCATGCTTGTCTTTTTTCCCCACTCAAAACATCTTTCGAAAAGTTGAGGTCCTCTACAAAGAAAGCATTTTAAAAGTAAGTTTTGTAAATTTTGTAGGGTTTTGTTTTTATTGACTGCAACTTAATTGAAAATAGGTATAAAGTATAGGCGTCATAGTTAATAAGGTTCTTTCTCACCCTAATGAGTAATACTCCTGAAACATAATCCTTGGACAGTTCCCTTAACTGCTTGGCTTTGGCACCCCTTTCAGAGGGGAGTGGGGTCAGATAACTCTTATCCCTGCTCCAAAAAGGTGAAGAAAGGACAAGTTAATTGACTTATGTCAGTTGGAGCTATGAAACGATTACACCAGGTATACTCAGTTCCCTTACCTGTGTTTTCTTATCTTGGAAAGGGATTGCTCTCCCTCACCATTTATCTTACAGCAGCTTTGTTTGTTTTTAAAGTTGCCCAGGAAGTATACAAATTAAACTTTTGACATCTACGTGTAGGAATCCCGTTCTGCTTCCAGAAGTGGAAGTGCTCACGGATCGGGGAAATCTGCAAGGCATACCCCTGCAAGGTCTCGCTCCAAGGAAGATTCCAGGCGTTCCAGATCAAAGTCCAGGTCCAGATCTGAATCTAGGTAAGAAAGACTGTCTTGAGATTTTCTTGTTACTCTTAGACATTGGCGTGTGCTTTGTAAACCAGGAAGATAGAGAGGGTTAGATGTTTTGTTGGCCTATTTAATATTGGTACTAGAAATAAACTTAAGTTCTGGGAGAAGGAAGTCTAATTGGTTAAGAGCCTAAGCTTTTAGTCAGGGTTCAAATCTTACCTCTATTTTTGTTGATTTGGGTAGATTGTACGTAACCTTTTCAGCTCTAGCTTCTTTATCTGTAAAAGGCAAGTTAGTGATAGTACCTGTTCTTCAGAGTTCTTGTGAGTGTAAGTAAACTGCTTCTCAGTGTGGCAATATGCTACAGAAAATTGGCTTTCAGTATTTGCAATTCTGGATAAATACATACATACATCGTGCTTTTTTTTTTTTTCTTAATGTGTTTCAAAGAGTAGGCTATACATCCTAGTTTGCCTGGGACAGTCCTAGTTTATGCCTGTTGTCAGGCATAAGAAACAACACCTCTTCTCTCAAACATGTCCTGGTTTAGATGATGACTTTATGATCATTGTGGTCAAGAGCCACTCGCTCATTTCCCCCCCCCCCCACTGCTGGGGGAACTTCCTGTGATGGTGATACTGTTAAACCTTGTAAGCTAATGGTAGGCATAATGGTAGATGCAGAAAAACAGAAGGTGGTCTTCTGAGGGGAAAGATGGGCACAAACCAAGTTAGTTAAGTGGTGCATGCTTTACTTTTTAAACGGTGATTATATTGATTTTAATTTTCCTTTATCTTAATTTGAAGAAATGTTGGGAGAAGAACTGGTGGTTTTGGAACACTTCAAGCAAAATTGAAATGACTGTAGATTAAAATTATAGAGGAAAGGTATTGATCCCACTTAGTTTATAGGCATGTTATCATATGCTTGGATTGTGTTCCTTCTGGGATTTAATTCTAGAGCATTAAACATAAAAGAATCAAAGACCGTATTTGTCAGTTATTTATTCATAACCTTAGAGGCTTTGTTTTGCAGGTCTAGGTCCCGAAGAAGCTCTCGAAGGCATTATACAAGGTCACGGTCTCGTTCCCGCTCCCATAGACGATCTCGGAGCAGGTCTTACAGTCGAGATTATCGCAGACGTCACAGCCACAGTCATTCTCCCATGTCTACTCGCAGGCGTCATGTTGGGAATCGGGTAAGATGCAAAGCTGTTTTTTTAAAACAAAGAATTTTAGGTTAGGACTGATTGCGACAATAGAGCTTTAGCAGTGAATACATGACTGAAATCTTCAGAGAGTTTTAGTGTTTTGAGATTCTCATTTTAAGTTATTTGCTCCATTTGGGCTATCAGGCATTGTATTGACATACCAATATAGCTAAGTCCATCAAGAAAAACATTCCAGGCTTGGCGCTCTCATTGGTTAGAGCACTGGCTATGTATGTACACTGGACTGGCAGACTTGAACCCACCCCAGGTCTGCTAAACAGTAACAACTACAAAATAAAGTCAAACTCTTTTGTTCTTACCTCTTTCTGGCAACTCAATCCATTGTATACGTGACATCTCTTAATTCAACCTCAAAAAAAAAATTTACTTTGTTACTGGCGTTTTTAATTAGCCTATGGTTTACTTTTATTTAGACTTTAATTTATGGTAAGTTTTCAGAGTTTGAAGTCCATTTCTCTATTTCTAGGCGAATCCTGATCCCAACTGTTGTCTTGGAGTATTTGGGTTGAGCTTGTACACCACAGAAAGAGATCTGAGAGAAGTGTTCTCTAAATACGGTCCCATTGCAGATGTGTCTATCGTATATGACCAGCAGTCTAGGCGTTCAAGAGGATTTGCCTTTGTGTATTTTGAAAATGTAGATGATGCCAAGGAAGTGAGTAAAACTTTATTTTATCTTTGTAAAGACCAGTTAATTTCTAAGCATTAAAGAGCAAGTGTTTAGATAAGGACGGTTTTGCTTTTTATGGTGTAAATAGGATATACACCTGCAGTTTGAGTCAAAGGAGTAAATTCTTAAACAAATACTGAAATCAGTAATGTTTTAACCATTTCTTATAGGAAATTTTAAATACATGTAGAATAACAAAATTTTGTAACTAGGGCAATTGATCCTACTACCCTGCTTCACTAGTTGTAACTAACTGGAGTCAGCTATGTTCCAGTTCAGTCTTCTACCCACCACATTTTGAAGTTCTGACATAATCACTTAGTATGTATGTATGCATATAGTTCATATATATTGTTTCAGTGTTTATAAACACCCAAATGTTATGAAAACAGAATCCGGCTCGGCGCCTGTGGCTCAAGTGGCTAAGGCTCCAGCCACATACACCTCAGGTGGCAGGTTCGAATCCCCAGCCCGGGCCCGCCAAACAACAATGATGGCTGCAACAAAAAAATGGCCAGGCGTTGTGGCGGGTGCCTGTAGTCCCAGCTACTTGGGAGGCTGAGGCAGGAGACTCGCTAGTCGCAGGAGTTGGAGGTTGCTGTGAGTGTGATGCCATGGCACTGTACCCAGGGGGGATAGCTTGAGGCTCTGTCTCAAAAAAAAAAAGAAAACAGAATCCTTATTTACATTAAGCTATTTTCTACAATAGAAAATAAGCAACAAAGTTATGACTAAGGAGGGAAAACTGATTTTGAGTATATATCAGGAAAAGAATGATTTCATGTTATTTTTGAATTTGACTTGAAGCGCAGAATATAGAAAGTATAAAGCTAGTATATGAGGTGGATTCCATTTAAGAAATTCAGACTTGAGGTGCATGTGGATAATAGCTGAAGTCATCATCAAGAAATTATAAAAAGGGCAGCACCTGTGGCTCAGTGAACAGGGTGTTGACCCCATATACTGAGGGTGGCGGGTTCAAACCCAGCCCCGGCCAAACTGCAACCAAAAAATAGCTGGGTGTTGTGGTGCCTGTAGTCCCAGCTACTCAGGAGGTTGAGGCAAGAGAATCGCCTAAGCCCAGAGTTGGAGGTTGCTGTGATACCACAGCACTCTACCAAGGGTGATGGAATGCGACTATGTCTGTACAAAAAAAAATATATATAGAGAGAGAGAGAAATGTGATAAACACAATTTAATGCCAAGCCCCTGTGATGGTCACAGGTCACAGTTGAGATTAGGAATTTAGTTGAGCCCTAGGCAAAATCTTTTGGTTTTATTTTATTTTTTTAAAATTTTCCTAATGTCTCTATTTGTAGAATAGACACAATCATTTTATATACATAGTTCTCATTTTTGAGCCGTGTGTGGTGTATATGCCTGTATTTCCAGCTACTCAGGAGGTTAAGGTAGGAGGAGCCCGGGAGTTGGAATCCAGCCTGAGCAACATGGTGATACCTCCATCTTTTAAAAAAAATCTTTTTTTTTTTTAATGTAAATAGCCAATTTTAACAGGAATAACTAATGAAGCATTAAAAGCAGTATGCAACTCATTTCAGTAGATAGCTCTGGAATTTTAAGACATTTGAAGGGACCTTTTAAGATGTCATTCAGTTTCATTTTTTTAAAAATTGAGATGCCAAAAGGTCTAAGTAGAAGTTTTCCCAAGATCACTGAATTGCCTAATTTAATTTTGCTAGAGGACCACAGTTAGCAATGAGAAAGTAGCATGATTTTTATGCGAATCTGTAGTGTCAGAAGCTGTTTTGATGCATAAATGTTATCTTAAACTTTCTAATGGAAGATCACAGAACACTGGAATTAGAAATTCTGCCTAGGTAAAAGGTAGTTTCTTCAAACTGTGAACAAACTCCAGTGAATATTTTTAAGTGCATGCTATATGTGTCCTGGCTTTTCTTCATCTTTTCATCTTAGCTTTTGTTTTCCAGAACAAGGCTGGATAAACTTTTAGATGATTAAATAGTAAATATGTTATGTTAGGCTTTTTGAGTCATGGAATCTTAGTCATAACAATTAAATCCAGCATCATAACCTAAAAGTAGATATATGTGATGAGCAGGGCAGTATTCTAGTGAAACATTGATGGGCATTTGAAGTTTGAATTTTTTTAATTATAACTTAAGAAATTCTGAGGCTTATTTATTATTTAAATTCATAGTTTATGGCTCATAGTGGCCTACAGATTATAATTTGACAACCTGTCTTATACAAAACAAAATCTACTTAAAGCACTAGTGAAATTTGAGGTTAGGGATAGTAATTGCTTTGTTTTCATGACCAGTTTTTACAAATGAATGATATTTAGTGGAAGGAATTAACTAATTTTAAATAGTAGCCCATATGAGCTTACCAGTGTTAAAATAACTTAATGGTGGCTGAACCCTGTAAGCCTAGCACTCTGGGAGGCCAAGGCGAGTGGATTGCTTGAGGTCAGGAGTTCAAGACCAGTCTGAGCAAAAGCAAGACTCCTTCTTTACTAAAAATAGAAAAAAATAAACTGACCTTGGTGGCGGGTACCTGTAAGTCATAGCTACTCAGGAGACTGAGTCAGGAGGATTACTCAAGCCCAAGAGTTTAAAGTTGTTGTGAGCTATGCCACCGTGGCACTCTACCCTTAGCGATAGAGTAAGACTCAAAATAATAACTTTATGCTACACCTAACTGAAACTCTGTTTGAACCTTATTCATAGCCATAGGATAATAGATGGCTTTGTCCAAAACGTCTATCAATAGTTCGTTTTATCTTTTAAAGGCTAAGGAACGTGCCAATGGAATGGAGCTTGATGGTCGTAGGATCAGAGTTGATTTCTCTATAACAAAAAGGCCACATACCCCAACACCAGGAATTTACATGGGAAGACCTACCTAGTAAGTTTATTTATGAGGTAAAAATGTGATTGAAAATTCAGTTCATGGCTCAGCGCTTGTGGCTCAAGCAGCTAAGGCGCCAGCCACATACACCTAAGGTGGCTGGTTCGAATCCAGCCTGGACCCGCCAAACAACAATAATGGCTGCAACCAAAAAATAACCAGGTGTTGTGGCAGGCGCCTGTGTTCCCAGCTACTCGGAAGGCTGAGGCAGGAGACTCGCTTGAGCCCAGGATTTGGAGGTTGCTGTGAGCAGTGAAGCCATGGCACTCTACCCAGGGTGACAGCTTGAGGCTCTGTCTCAAAAAAAAAAAGAAAAGAAAATTCAGTTCACTTCCTCCAAGAAACACTTGTGGGGAAAAGGGTCTTTTTTGTACTTCATCTAATCCTACCACAGTGCAAAGTAAAACTAAATATTGAGGGAATATACCTAAAAAATATAAGTATTATAACCTAATTCATTGTACCATCAAATTAACCTGAAATAATTAAACAACTTCATTGGATTATATGCAAAAATACGTGGTAACATTTCTGTTTATATCAAACATTTGCTTAACACTTTTAAATCACATTCCACTTTCTCATAAAGAAAAGCCATAAATTTTGGTTTTACTCACTAATTATTAAAAGTAGGACATTTTTCCTATAATAGAAACATAAAATTACAAATAAGAAGTTTATATATCTTAAAATAAGTGCAGTTTTTAGGCCAGGCAATATGGTGTATGCCTGTAATCCTAGCACTCTAGGAGGCCAAGGCAGATGGGTGGGTTGCTTGAGCTCAGGAGTTTGAGACACAGCCTAAGCAAGAGTGAGACCCTGTCTTTAAAAAATCACTGAGCATTATGGTGGGTGCCTGTAGTCCCAGCTACTTGGGAGGCTGAGGCAGGAGGATTACTTGAGCCTAAGAGTTTGAGGTTGCTGTGAGCTATGATGCTGAAACCCTCTACCAAGGGTGACAAAGTGAGACTCTGTCTCCAAAAAAGTGTGTTTTTTAGATTTTTTTTTTTTTAAAGCAGAATGGAAAACATGAGTCTTGGTTAATTGCACTAAAACATTAAGGGATACTTTTTTCCCCTTTGTTGTAACGCTAACCAAATGTGTACATTATTGACAGACTTTTAAATTGGAATTTATTTTTAAAATTAAAATGCTCTTACATAAGATAGGGAATTATAATTATGTATCGTGATTGTTATGTTCTCTTTATAAGCAGAACAGTTTCCCACTCCCCAAATGACATTTTCTCTGTGGCTTTATTTTTTTCCTTTTGAAAATGTGTGCAGTTAGAAAGTAAATCAGTAGATCTGTGTGCCTCAGTAATCTAAAAAATTTTAACAGTTAAGTAAAAAACAGTATTTGTCTCATATCAGTGAGAACTATGAAAGAAATGCTCATTTTTCCAATTAACATATCAGAAAAGGCCTACTATTAAATACCATCCGTTTTGTTCAGAGATAAGGAAGTTACCCTTAAAGAAGTTGCCCAGTCATGCCCATAGAGCTTGTCTGCAGGTTGTGTTACCTTCAAGACCTAAAGCATGCTACATGGTGTTGAGCTGCTGATAAATATCTGAACCAGTTTTTAATAATAAAAGTAACATCCAAAACAGTAGAGAAGGCCATGCCATATTTTTAAAAGATTTTTTTTTTATTATTCATAGTGGCAGTTCACGCCGTCGGGATTATTACGACAGAGGGTATGATCGAGGCTATGATGATCGAGACTACTATAGCAGGTCATACAGGTAAGTTGTGATGTAGAGTGGTCACTGTAATTGGAAGCATTTTAGGCTTCAGAAATAACAGCAGGAGTTTAAAGCAGATTTCAAGGTCTTTTTCATTAATATGGTATATATTATGTACTTGGTTTTCTGTTCAAAAACTATTCTAGAATATAAATAGGGGAACTTTTAGTGATCACTTGGGATATATTAACAAAGAGATTAACACATTTTCTTTCCAAACGTCAAATTCTTTGGTTTGAATTCAAAGTCTGAATTTTCTGGTTTAAAATAATAGGAAATAATTACAGCTTATGTATCTTGGTTTGTTCTTCTAAAAAAAAAAAAAAAAACACCGGGTGCATAAGCCATATTGGAAAGTTGGCCCTTTCTTAAAAGCAAATTTTTCTCTAATGTGTCATGCATTGGAGGGAAGTGACTGATAGTTTTTGAAAGATTACAGAGAATTCATTTAAAGTCATGAATTTAGTAATCAATGGTCAACAGGTTCTTTTTGTTGCCAAAAGTTCATATTTTAGGTAGGGGTTTTGGTAGGAAGATGCTTACCCCATCATGCTTAAAAAAGATACCTTTGACAGTATTTCCAAATGTAAAAATAAACTAAAATCTCTATTTTTTAGCAGCAATGGGTAGACCCTGCCTGTTTGTTAAAATGTAAATTTATATAATTATTAGGTATTGGCCACAACAGTAATCCTTGATACTTTAGTTTGGTGTTGAGGTATGGGGGTTTTTGTCTACATTGTTTAATAATGTTTGACAAGTGTCAGTATACTACTATCTGAAACTGGTTTATTACAGTTGCTAACCAATGGGGGGGGGGGCAGTCAGGGACTTGACCCCACTGACAGTTTATGTTCACATATTCTGTGCTTAACAAATGTACCAGTCCCTTGGCCCTTCCCACTCCCCCCAGTTAGCTAGCAGCTGTTGTGTGTGTTCTGAATTGTAAGCATTTTATCACTTACAAAAATCCCTTTTTTTCTTTTAACCATCCTTGTATTGAGAGGATGAAAAAAATTCTTAAGCTGATTTTTGTTAAAACATTTAAGAGCATTTGCTTAAAAATGTTCTCTGTTCTAATGATACTCCTTTTAGCCACCAGAGAGAGCCCTATGCCAGTTTCAGAAAAGACTGGCAAAGGGCTCTTAATCATTTAACTCACACTAAAGGAGGTACTACTAGTGCTTTGTGGGAGTTTTTATTTCACTGAATAAATAATATAATTGTTCCAAAAACTGAATATGTTATCTTCCTATCTTCACAGGGGAGGAGGTGGAGGAGGAGGAGGATGGAGAGCTGCTCAAGACAGGGATCAAATTTATAGGTATGCCAGGAGAGGATTTATTTAACCTCCAGACAATAGTAGAAAGCCTCACATTAAGATGGTTATCTCCAAATATTTTGGTGTAGGAGTGGATTCACATAAAACTGAAATTCTTGAAGCTCCTAAGAATATTCTTAAGTGACTATACAATAAAAGGCTTTGCGTATTTAAACATTAAATTTTTTTGTCATTTTTCATCATGTTCTTACACTTTATATGCTTTTATAAGCATCTCCAAATAAGAATATCAATACTCAAACCTGTCTTATACAAAACAAAATCTACTTAAAGCACTAGTGAAATCTGGTTTGAATGTTAGTCCATTTGGGTGTGGTTGGAATTAGTTAATGGTAAGGGAATTTTCTTTTTCTTGAACATTACTTCAGAAAATTTAAAAGAAGAGGAAATTAAAATAGAACTAGGATTATTAAACTTCTGATAGTTTAATAGTTATTTGGTACTTGGACCTTTACACTGGGCTTGGGGAAACCTAGAAACCCCACGACAGATCGAAGATTTTTGAGGAGTTCATGAAGACTACTTTGGGAACAGAAGGGGAATGTGTAATCATGTCCTTTAGTGTAGTAGTGATTTATGGAGACTTGTTTTGACATTTGTTTACAGAAGGCGGTCACCTTCTCCTTACTATAGTCGTGGAGGATACAGATCACGTTCCAGATCTCGATCGTATTCACCTCGTAAGTTTTTATCTTGATGTGGTATTTGTGTGTGTGTGGTAATAATACCACAGCCTAATAATAACAGGCAACTAATACCTTTTGCAGATAATGGGTTCATGTAGTTTTATCATTCACACATTTCAAATGTTTTTAGCATTCAAGAAAGTTGATGAAGATGACCTTTAAAATTCTGTTTTTGCTTTTAATTAAAATAGTAAAAGTACAGTCGGTTAAGTTTTAGGCGACTTTGAAAAATTATTTAAAACCTTAGCTCTGGCTCGGTGCCTATAGCTCAAGTAGCCTAAGGCACCAGCCACATATACCCAAGGTGGCAGGTTCGAATCTAGCCCGGGCCCACCAAACAACAATGATGGCTGCAACCAAAAAATAGCCAGGTGTTGT